GAGAGAGAGAGAGAGAGAGAGAGAGAGAGACAGAGACAGAGACCGAGAAAGAGAAGACACATTTAGACAGAGACAGAAAGGACATTTACATGGTAGTATGTTAGGACTGAAAGTCTTTAAGAGACATTGAGAGAGTGAGAGAAACAGCATGTACAGAGAAAGTGTGGAAGGTCTTTTAAGTATTAAAATAATACTAGCCCTGATGGATAACTGACAGCTTGTTCTGGATTCATGCAGCCCACAGATGGATTGACAGACACAAGAAACGGGCATCGGTAAGGAAGGTGGGCAGAGAATGCAACAGGACTCTTGCATCTGGATGATAAGCTTTAATTTTGCCTGGAAAATAATGAGGGCAGGCCAAGAATTTTATGCATGGGAGAAACAGGAATGGACTTGAATTTGAGAAACTGTATTTGGAGAACAAATAGGAGATGGGTTCAGGGAAAGGCAAGGTAGGGAGGACGGTTGGAGGACTCCTGCAATGGTCTCTGCAGCGCTGAGGGCAGGAGAGGAGAAGCTCAAGAGATAAGAGGTCAAATGAATGCAATTCAGTATTTGATTGGATGTGGATAGTGAAAAAGCGCCAAGTTTACCTACGCCCAGGTTTCTAGCTCAAGAATCGGTACAGCTGGGGTTCGATCCCCAGCATGCCGTGCTGGCCCCGTCCCCGGGGTGTGCTAAGAGAGAGACTGAGACTGGGCGTGGTGGCATGCGGGCCTGTAATCCCAGCGCTTGGAGGCTGAAAACGGGCAGATCACTACGAGTCTGAGCTGTGTAGTGAGACCCTGTAGACCCCGTGGTAAGTATAGGAAGAAAAAAAACCTGTGGATGGCTGGTGGTGGCGTTCACAGGGAAAAGGCAACAGGGGAGTGGAACAGCAGCTTGAGAGACTGAGTGGGAAGAAGAAAGTGCTCCCGTGAGAAGACTTAGCAGGGACCGTGCAGGAGCAGCAGCTGGCAGGACGCCTCAAGGACCGGTCCAGTGCTCCTGAGGGAGACTCAGCTGCGCCCACGCGAGGCTGGTGGGCACCATCCAGAACGCTCTTAAAGTGCTTACATCTGGGCTCCGCTCTGGAAGTTCTAATTTACCAGGACTCTTCAGAGCCCGAAGAACTGAGCAATCTTCGGGTTATACTGCGCACGTCCAGCCAGACGTTGGCTGGGCACACGTCCTGGAGAGCCTCGCCGGCAGAATGGCTCCGCAAGGCCCGGCCTTGGGCCCGGCCCGCCTCACCAGAGCCGCCATCTGTGGCACTGTACTACACGGTCTGGCCGGACCCTGACACATCCGCTGTTCTGGCAGTGACAGAAACAGCACTGATACTTGTTTTTAAAAGCAATAATTAATGCCATAAGAGCACCAGAAATCAAGAAAGGTTTTATCTTATGTTCAACTCAGAGGGTTTTATATATTATTGTATTCCTAGATATTGCTATTTTCCATTAAACAATGGCAGCACATGTAAGAAATTGTATTTCTGAAAGTTAAAAACAATAAAGCAGTTATTTCTCTGTAAAGTGCTCATACGTTGCCCTGTGGCTTTCTTGCCGATCAGCCATTCTCTAGGAAGCCTACAGGGCTGTTGAAAACCAGACATGCTTACCGCCAATATTCTGCATTGTAATAGAGACAAAAGCTCCAATTTTTCCAGGCCATCCAAATGCCTTCTCCCCTAATTTTTCATAAATCAGCGACCCTACAAAGAGAGAAAATAATTTTTAGAGAACTATTTAATGACAGAAACATTTCTATCATGCAACGCTACACTCGAGTTTCTATCATGTAAGTCACGTTAAAGAGAAACTATGAACCCAAAAGGTGAAGCTTCAGAACCAATAAGCAATAGATCACGTGTTCTCAGGACGAGAAGCAGGGGCCTTACTCCTTAGAACTGCAGATAGCAAGTTAAGACACTTATTTCTCTCACCAACTATTAGGGTTCATGTCTAGCTGTTCCCCAGAGCCTCACGCAGTCCCTGGGCTGGCTTTTAAAGTTTTGGATTGATTCGTGGTCCACTGTTGGGATTATGGGTGCGAACGCTGCCCCCACCCTGGGGCGGGAGCCTGCATACAGTGTGTGGGGGAGGCCTGCTCTCTGCTGCTCCTTCTGCCTTGCTGTCTTCCTCTGCCATGAGCTGCCGCCCTCTGCCACGCGCCACTGTGCCTTGGAGCCAGACGAGAATGGACTGATACCTCCACAGATCGAGAGCTCAATAAACCTTTCCTTTCTTCATTCTCGGCATCAGGTATTTTGTCCCAGCAATGAGAGAAGAGTAACCAGGGAAGCGCCTATAGTCTACGTGGCCCGAACTGCAGCGAGCCAACCTTCACTCCTGCTGCCTGCTTTCCCAGATAACTGAAACCCTCGCTAGGCAAACAGTGTCGCTGCCGAGGTTAAAGGAAGGTGAAATGTGACAGTGACTCCCAACACCCTCGGGCAATGGAGCGAGGACTGAAAAACGCACTCGTGAGAGTCAAGACAGAACGTCTTGGACTTAGCAGGTGACGTACCTCCTTCCTTGGCAGTTTTTAGCAAAAGATGAACTGAATAGAGCGATAATATCGCCACAGCAAGCAGCATAATTCTGTGAAGGGAGCAGAGTGGGAAGTAAGATTTCTATAAGAAGAAAGACACCACCGTACTACACATTACAATCAAGAATCACATCGGTCTCTTCAGTCATTAACCTTTTAAAAACATGTGGATTTGGGGGAGACTCAGGAACCCCTCTCAGAGTGTTAAACCTGCCTCCGACTCTGTATTTCCCATGCTTAACCCTACAGCCTGGAGTTCCTAACATTTTTTGGGCTACAAAGTCGTAGAATCCGTTTCATAACTTAGATTGCAAGTGCAAGAGTATCCACTATTGCAGCAACTGAAGTCGGCCTACGGGGGCTGTGTGTGCGTACACACTTGCATCCACATGTAGAACTGAAGGGCGAGCCAAAAGCCTGCCCGAGCCTTAAGCTAGTGTCTAAGGATCCACGCACCGAAGCAGGTAGCATCCGCTCAATTTCTTCTAGTCTGCACTAGAAGAGAAGGTCACTTTGTCCACCGAGAATCGGCAACTGCGTGTGTAGCAGGGAAAGCAGAAAAAGACAGCAGGGAAATCCATTTTTTTGTGTTCAGAAAGAATAATTTGTGCTGTCAGGACTCGAAGTGTGCACGTGTACACGTGGCTTGTGTCTACAGTAATCAGCATTTCTCCATGAGCCAAGAATTAGAGAGCGAAATGAAGAAGCAAGTGCAGGACCAAGAATTAGAGCATAATTAGATTGTAAAGCAAGGAGTTAGAGTGCAAAGAAAATAGAAGCACCTGTATCATAGCTGGAAGGACAGCACCGAAGCTGCCTCGGAGTGCTTTCTAGGCGTATTTTGTGTGATGAGAACACACAGAACGTCCTCCGTAACTGCTACTTCCTGGTACTTTCCTGGGCAATCAATGCTGGGCATGCAAATCCACACTATGGAGTATACGTTCAGTAACTGCTGTGGCTATAGTGCGCTCTTATTTTCTAGAAAATGTCTGCCAGAACTCTCTGATCAATTATTTATCAATTATTTATTCATGTGTTTTTCTATATGCCTTGTAAACTTTCCTTTTTTTTTTTTTTTTTTAAATGTAATTCAGATTACGTAATTTTCTTGGAATAAAAAGAGTCAGTGTTCGCTGTATTCTTCTCTCTTTTGGTACCAGGAATTGAACTCTGAGCCTGGGGCGTGCCAGGCAGGCGCCGAGTCCTGAGCTACATCCCGCCCTGTGTTGTTCCCTGTATTCTAAACATGTACTCGCTTGGCAGGAAATACTGAAAGAGAAACCGTCCAGTGCTGTTTTCCTTGCTGTGAATTAAGGGAAAGAGCTGAACCAGTTCTGGACCATTTTAACACGCAAAATAAACGGCTTTGTGTTTAGCAACTTAGTTGCTTTTGTCAAATTAATCTGCTGTTTATCGGCTCGCAATGAGGCTCTCATCTGGAGAGGGAAATATTCTCCTGTGAAAATGATTTATGGCTCAGGCGTGGGGGAAGAGCTTCCTATTTCTATTCATCAATGATCTACGTTAAATTCATGATTAATTCTAGTGCTATGTATAATCAATAAGGAGAAGGCAGTCTTTTTGTCTTAGAGCCTGTGAACACTGCAGAGCACGCAAATACATGAACACATTTCTAGTGGTTCAGACTCAGAAAATTAAAGTTTGTTTATTTCATATATGACTTATCAAAGCAAAGTTGATATAAAATCCACTCAGTTAAATAAGGCCATACATGAAAGAGTTTGATCAAGGCACTATTGCAGGATAAATACTTACAGTTGGAATCCTCAGCCCTCAACTAGCTGTGCGCTATCTAACCATCCACGAGGCTCCACAACATAAATTACACACGCATTTATCATAAACGCTACATTCCCAGGCATCTCCTTCGCTGTCAAGCGTTGCGTCGGAAGCAGAGTGTGCATTCGTGTGGGTGCCTAACGCACTGCCGCCAGCTGCGACTCACACAGTTGCAGGCTGTGCCCGACGCGCCTCTCCTCCTGCAACACCCATGTTCGTGCCAGCTGCGCGAGGCTTCCGCTCCTGGGCAGCATTCGGCCAAATGTATTGAAAACACATAGGCTTGGAATTACGCTTCAGTCACTCGGCAACTGTATCCCGGGCCAAACGGAGTGCAAGGTTTCGGGAGTACAGCCCCGCGGCGACGCCTGGACGACGTTTGGTGGGGCGCATACTCTAGCAACAGGGCGCCGAGGTGTCTGAAAAGTGCGCTGTAGTGTTAACACGCTGGTGCACGCAGAAAGACTTGCCCAGTCACAGAGTCAGAGAAGGCAGCACCAAGGAGAGGCCGGGCCACGCCGTGGACACGAGCCGGATAAAGAAGAAAGGAATGAGAGTCCAAGACCACGCGTCAAGCCCAGCAGTAAGCGTGCATCGGCGCCCTCTGGGGCAGCCAGAAGGCCAGCGTGCCCACTGTGCCTGGTCCCCAGGGGGCAGGGAACGGGCCCAGGGCAGCAGGACACGCAGTTGTGGCTTGGGGTGGGGTGTTTTCTCCAAGATTATTTTAAAATTAGGCTTGCATATAGGAAAGTCTGACTAGGAAACACTAGATTATTTTAGAATCTGTCACACAGTGAGCTCTCTTGCAGGTCATGTCTGAGGCCTGGCAGGGCTGCCCCCGCACGCCCGCTGACGGTGTGCATACAGCTTCTGCCACCTGGCTAGGGGTGGCCGGGAGGAGAAGCGCCACTGTGAGCCCGCCACGGCTGTCCTCAGCTGGCTGTTTTCTCGAACATCAAGAAGGTTTGCTGAGACGTTCTCAAATTCTTCCTGGTCCCAAAGATCACACTATAGACTATTAATTAAAAGAGCGCCGAGGTATATACACACAGACCTCATCTCCCAATGTAGATGTGTGTTCGCTTACATAAAAAGTACGATTCCAGTGTTGGCCATGGCGTAGGACAAGCCCAGGATCCCACTGCCCATGATGGCGTTGCTCAGGTTGAACGAAGACATTCCGAAGGAAGTAGTTCCAGGGTGCTGGAAGAGCAGGGACACAGTATAAGCAAACACTCGTCACACACCCATCTTCTCTTGGCTTATTCTTATTCTTACACTGTCTCTCCTGACTGAGACTGCAGTCCAAAAAGTGAAGGCGAAGATAAAAATCATAGCAAGCAAAAGTCCTTACTGACCTTCAATAAAAGCATGTGTTTTTTTCAATGGAATGTAGTGCTTGGGCTTAGCGCAGATGTCCACAAAAACAGACACAAAAAGTACAGGTGGAGCAACAGAAAGAAGGTCAGGGATGTGTCACTGCAGACTGCACTCGGGTTAGAACGATCTCTCAACAAAAACAAACAAATTTCATAAATGATTTATGCAGCCATATGGCGAGCAGGAAAAACAGGCCCTTATTCCCGTAAGGGCCTGAATAAACACAGAATGTGCTGATGGAGGCTCGGAAAATTTCAGTCATACTGCTTTCCCACCGGGCCCCAGGGAGGTCAGACACCCTCGGTCCCGCCCGCCGCCTCGCAGCAGAGATTCACTTACGTGCTCTTCGTCATAATCGGCCAGCTTCTTTTCCCCCAAAAATCCATTTGTCAGGAACTTCTGGCTTTCAGCATCTTCATTAGCAAACTGGCTGGACACACACAGATAAAAGGGAAATAAGACAGTGAAAGCATCAAAATAAGTGCTCTCGATTCTGTCTGTTCTGGTGACCGCAGGAGCTCCACGGCGGGGCAGAGAGCAAGGAAGGAGCAGAACACCCACAACGCGTTTTCCCTTCAGATGAAACACTGAGCTCCACTTGTGAATAAACTCTGAGGGAGGGAAGATGTTATGAGGAAAGAAATCAGCTGAGAAACTGTTCATGCCTCATTTCTTCTTCTCTACAGATATAATGCAAGGAAGAGATTAACTTGGAACTAGTTTTGTATGAAAGGGTACAGGCTCACGATTTGAGTTCAGCTTTAATTTAACCCGTATTTGTTAAATGGCTGTGTGGTACTCATCTCATTTCATGCCTGTAGGAGGAACTCTTTCTCAAAAGATGAGGTAACTCTGGCTAGAGCGGGAAAGGAAGAAGCACCCACCGGGCTCCCAGGCCACGGCCCTGCCCGCACCCACCGGGCTCCCAGGCCACGGCCCTGCCCGCACCCACCGGGCTCCCAGGCCACGGCCC